CTATAGAAAGTAGATCAGACAGCTGATCCAGACGCTGCTGCCTGCGTCCTCACTAGAACTATAGAAAGTAGATCAGACAGCTGATCCAGACGCTGCTGCCTGCGTCCTCACTAGAACTATAGAAAGTAGATCAGACGGCTGATCCAGACGCTACTGCCTGCGTCCTCACTAGAACTATAGAAAGTAGATCAGACGGCTGATCCAGACGCTACTGCCTGCGTCCTCACTAGAACTATAGAAAGTAGATCAGACAGCTGATCCAGACGCTGCTGCCTGCGTCCTCACTAGAACTATAGAAAGTAGATCAGACAGCTGATCCAGACGCTGCTGCCTGCGTCCTCACTAGAACTATAGAAAGTAGATCAGACAGCTGATCCAGACGCTGCTGCCTGCGTCCTCACTAGAGCTATAGAAAGTAGATCAGACAGCTGATCCAGACGCTGCTGCCTGCGTCCTCACTAGAACTATAGAAAGTAGATCAGACAGCTGATCCAGACGCTGCTGCCTGCGTCCTCACTAGAACTATAGAAAGTAGATCAGACAGCTGATCCAGACGCTGCTGCCTGCGTCCTCACTAGAACTATAGAAAGTAGATCAGACAGCTGATCCAGACGCTGCTGCCTGCGTCCTCAGTAGAACTATAGAAAGTAGATCAGACAGCTGATCCAGACGCTGCTGCCTGCGTCATCACTAGAGCTATAGAAAGTAGATCAGACAGCTGATCCAGACGCTGCTGCCTGCGTCCTCACTAGAACTATAGAAAGTAGATCAGACAGCTGATCCAGACGCTGCTGCCTGCGTCCTCACTAGAACTATAGAAAGTAGATCAGACAGCTGATCCAGACGCTGCTGCCTGCGTCCTCACTAGAGCTATAGAAAGTAGATCAGACAGCTGATCCAGACGCTGCTGCCTGCGTCCTCACTAGAACTATAGAAAGTAGATCAGACAGCTGATCCAGACGCTGCTGCCTGCGCCCTCACTAGAACTATAGAAAGTAGATCAGACAGCTGATCCAGACGCCGCTGCCTGCGTCCTCACTAGAACTATAGAAAGTAGATCAGACAGCTGATCCAGACGCTGCTGCCTGCGTCCTCACTAGAACTATAGAAAGTAGATCAGACAGCTGATCCAGACGCTGCTGCCTGCGTCCTCACTAGAACTATAGAAAGTAGATCAGACAGCTGATCCAGACGCTGCTGCCTGCGTCCTCACTAGAACTATAGAAAGTAGATCAGACAGCTGATCCAGACGCTGCTGCCTGCGTCCTCACTAGAACTATAGAAAGTAGATCAGACAACTGATCCAGCTAGAAGCTGCAACCAGGATCTAGATCTGGACCTTCAGAGGCTCAGAGAGACAGGAACACAGTGTAGCTTCTACCTGAAGAACATCTGCAGGATTAAAGGACTGATGCTGAAAAACTACTTCCTGCTTCTTTGGTAGAATTGATCCCTGCAGCAATCTATCTGTACAGAACTAGAACTATAGAAAGTAGATCAGACAGCTGATCCAGACGCTGCTGCCTGCATCCTCACTAGAACTATAGAAAGTAGATCAGACAGCTGATCCAGACGCCGCTGCCTGCGTCCTCACTAGAACTATAGAAAGTAGATCAGACAGCTGATCCAGACGCTGCTGCCTGCGTCCTCACTAGAACTATAGAAAGTAGATCAGACAGCTGATCCAGACGCTGCTGCCTGCGTCCTCACTAGAGCTATAGAAAGTAGATCAGACAGCTGATCCAGACGCTGCTGCCTGCGTCCTCACTAGAGCTATAGAAAGTAGATCAGACAGCTGATCCAGACGCTGCTGCCTGCGTCCTCACTAGAACTATAGAAAGTAGATCAGACAGCTGATCCAGACGCTGCTGCCTGCGTCCTCACTAGAACTATAGAAAGTAGATCAGACAGCTGATCCAGACGCTGCTGCCTGCGTCCTCACTAGAACTATAGAAAGTAGATCAGACAGCTGATCCAGACGCTGCTGCCTGCGTCCTCACTAGAACTATAGAAAGTAGATCAGACAGCTGATCCAGACGCTGCTGCCTGCGTCCTCACTAGAACTATAGAAAGTAGATCAGACAGCTGATCCAGACGCTGCTGCCTGCGTCCTCACTAGAGCTATAGAAAGTAGATCAGACAGCTGATCCAGACGCTGCTGCCTGCGTCCTCACTAGAACTATAGAAAGTAGATCAGACAGCTGATCCAGACGCTGCTGCCTGCGTCCTCACTAGAACTATAGAAAGTAGATCAGACAGCTGATCCAGACGCTGCTGCCTGCGTCCTCACTAGAACTATAGAAAGTAGATCAGACAGCTGATCCAGACGCTGCTGCCTGCGTCCTCACTAGAACTATAGAAAGTAGATCAGACAGCTGATCCAGACGCTGCTGCCTGCGTCCTCACTAGAACTATAGAAAGTAGATCAGACAGCTGATCCAGACGCTGCTGCCTGCGTCCTCACTAGAACTATAGAAAGTAGATCAGACAGCTGATCCAGATGATGCTACCAGCGTCCTCACTAGAACTATAGAAAGTAGATCAGACAGCTGATCCAGACGCTGCTGCCTGCGTCCTCACTAGAACTATAGAAAGTAGATCAGACAGCTGATCCAGACGCTGCTGCCTGCGTCCTCACTAGAACTATAGAAAGTAGATCAGACAGCTGATCCAGACGCTGCTGCCTGCGTCCTCACTAGAACTATAGAAAGTAGATCAGACAGCTGATCCAGACGCTGCTGCCTGCGTCCTCACTAGAGCTATAGAAAGTAGATCAGACAGCTGATCCAGACGCTGCTGCCTGCGTCCTCACTAGAACTATAGAAAGTAGATCAGACAGCTGATCCAGACGCTGCTGCCTGCGTCCTCACTAGAACTATAGAAAGTAGATCAGACAGCTGATCCAGACGCTGCTGCCTGCGTCCTCACTAGAGCTATAGAAAGTAGATCAGACAGCTGATCCAGACGCTGCTGCCTGCGTCCTCACTAGAACTATAGAAAGTAGATCAGACAGCTGATCCAGACGCTGCTGCCTGCGCCCTCACTAGAACTATAGAAAGTAGATCAGACAGCTGATCCAGACGCCGCTGCCTGCGTCCTCACTAGAACTATAGAAAGTAGATCAGACAGCTGATCCAGACGCCGCTGCCTGCGTCCTCACTAGAACTATAGAAAGTAGATCAGACAGCTGATCCAGACGCTGCTGCCTGCGTCCTCACTAGAACTATAGAAAGTAGATCAGACAGCTGATCCAGACGCTGCTGCCTGCGTCCTCACTAGAACTATAGAAAGTAGATCAGACAACTGATCCAGCTAGAAGCTGCAACCAGGATCTAGATCTGGACCTTCAGAGGCTCAGAGAGACAGGAACACAGTGTAGCTTCTACCTGAAGAACATCTGCAGGATTAAAGGACTGATGCTGAAAAACTACTTCCTGCTTCTTTGGTAGAATTGATCCCTGCAGCAATCTATCTGTACAGAACTAGAACTATAGAAAGTAGATCAGACAGCTGATCCAGACGCTGCTGCCTGCATCCTCACTAGAACTATAGAAAGTAGATCAGACAGCTGATCCAGACGCCGCTGCCTGCGTCCTCACTAGAACTATAGAAAGTAGATCAGACAGCTGATCCAGACGCTGCTGCCTGCGTCCTCACTAGAACTATAGAAAGTAGATCAGACAGCTGATCCAGACGCTGCTGCCTGCGTCCTCACTAGAGCTATAGAAAGTAGATCAGACAGCTGATCCAGACGCTGCTGCCTGCGTCCTCACTAGAACTATAGAAAGTAGATCAGACAGCTGATCCAGACGCTGCTGCCTGCGTCCTCACTAGAACTATAGAAAGTAGATCAGACAGCTGATCCAGACGCTGCTGCCTGCGTCCTCACTAGAGCTATAGAAAGTAGATCAGACAGCTGATCAAGACGCTGCTGCCTGCGTCCTCACTAGAACTATAGAAAGTAGATCAGACAGCTGATCCAGACGCTGCTGCCTGCGTCCTCACTAGAACTATAGAAAGTAGATCAGACAGCTGATCCAGACGCTGCTGCCTGCGTCCTCACTAGAGCTATAGAAAGTAGATCAGACAGCTGATCCAGACGCTGCTGCCTGCGTCCTCACTAGAACTATAGAAAGTAGATCAGACAGCTGATCCAGACGCTGCTGCCTGCGCCCTCACTAGAACTATAGAAAGTAGATCAGACAGCTGATCCAGACGCCGCTGCCTGCGTCCTCACTAGAACTATAGAAAGTAGATCAGACAGCTGATCCAGACGCCGCTGCCTGCGTCCTCACTAGAACTATAGAAAGTAGATCAGACAGCTGATCCAGACGCTGCTGCCTGCGTCCTCACTAGAACTATAGAAAGTAGATCAGACAGCTGATCCAGACGCTGCTGCCTGCGTCCTCACTAGAACTATAGAAAGTAGATCAGACAACTGATCCAGCTAGAAGCTGCAACCAGGATCTAGATCTGGACCTTCAGAGGCTCAGAGAGACAGGAACACAGTGTAGCTTCTACCTGAAGAACATCTGCAGGATTAAAGGACTGATGCTGAAAAACTACTTCCTGCTTCTTTGGTAGAATTGATCCCTGCAGCAATCTATCTGTACAGAACTAGAACTATAGAAAGTAGATCAGACAGCTGATCCAGACGCCGCTGCCTGCGTCCTCACTAGAACTATAGAAAGTAGATCAGACAGCTGATCCAGACGCTGCTGCCTGCGTCCTCACTAGAACTATAGAAAGTAGATCAGACAGCTGATCCAGACGCTGCTGCCTGCGTCCTCACTAGAGCTATAGAAAGTAGATCAGACAGCTGATCCAGACGCTGCTGCCTGCGTCCTCACTAGAACTATAGAAAGTAGATCAGACAGCTGATCCAGACGCTGCTGCCTGCGTCCTCACTAGAACTATAGAAAGTAGAGTCTGTCTAATCAGTGGACTCAGACCAATATTAACGAGTTAACGAGGTTTCATAACTAGTGGTCTGGACTCACCCTGGACAGGACCACCTCCAGGCTGATGTTCTGAGGAGGAGCGCTGGGAGCTGCAGAGACACAAACACAGAATCAGAGCCGTTATCTGGAAACCTGTTCAGACTCAGTCCATGCTGGTTTGGATCCTGTGCTGCAGATCTAGGCTCTCTGCTCAGTTTTTACATTCATATATTCTAAAACTTTAAAAGCTGCAGCTTCATCTCAGGATCTTCCACATTTAAAAGAAAAGTCGCTCATATTCAGAATCCAAACTTCTGAAAGTTCTTTAAATCTGAAATGATTCCATCCTGTTCAATAAATGATCAGTGTTTTTAATTCAGAGTAATTTTCATGTGAATGTGCTTTACTGGAGGCATCCATGTTTGTCAAAGAACACTACTGCCACCTACTGGTTAGTGACATTGTCACGGTGCGGTATCGGCTGTTGATCAAGTCCCAGTGCTGTATCTGGTGTTTTTTTCCACTTTTCCCCGATGTATTCCAGCATCCAGCTGCCATGCACGTGGGCATTGTCAGTTTCACTATAGCTCTGGTGAATTTCAATGGTGAAGTCCTCTGGAAATCTTCAATAATTGTTGTTGATTGCAGATGTGTCTAGTAGTTCCCATTGATTTAGCTTGGAAAGCGGGGAGAATGGCGCTAGGCTTACCGCACCGTGACGTCACTGCTGGAAGATGGCAGGAGGGAGGGGCTACTATATTTGGGCAAAGATGGCCGCTTCCAGACTCAGTGATTTAGTTTTTTACTCAATAATGCTAAATTCATTAAATCACAGCGAACGTATAACGTTAAGGTATAAATAATGATCCATGGATTAATCCTGCTGACTGAACTTTTCCTTTAAAGGACTGAATCTGCTCCATCCGTCTCCACCGTGTTTCAGCGTCAGTCTGCAGACTGATGGAGATCTACTGATTAAACCTGGAGGGGCGGGAAGACTGTGGACTCGAAGCTCATTGGCTGTCTGTTCCAACCTTGTCTCAAATGATAAAACCTGATGTCATCAGAATGTTGAAGACGGTTCTTTATGGAAGTGTTCTGACTGAAGGCCGTTTGCTTCCTAAGCCCCGCCTCTCGGTAAGCAGATGTTGGGCTGAAGAACTTCCTGTTGAGGAAAGGAAGCGAGGAAGCTGTTCCTCCTGCTCCTTTATGTTCTACATTTGAACAGAAGGTTGTTTCCAGGAGCTGCAGTGCAGGATGGTCCCCGGTTCAAATCCCAGCTGCAGCTCCATGTGGATGTGGCGGTTCCCTCAGACGTTCCGCCTCTCTGGTTCCCTCTAACTGGTTCCCAGTGTCTCCTGCTGGTTTTTAAAGCTGTCTGGGTTCAGCAGCTGATCCAGAAGCAGCGCCAGGTGACGTTCGGCCCGTTCGCTGCACTAACCTTCAGGTCAGACAGGATGTGAGGAATCAGCAGCATGGACTCAGAAACCTGCTGAGGGGGTTAGGGTCAGGATCTGCCTGACGACAGGAAGCAGGCGGCGCTGCTGACCAGAGCCTCCGGGCCGGATCAGCCCGGTTCTGCTGCTGGAGGAGCAGATTGATGCCTGGGTCTAAACCAATGAGACGTTCCCATTAACAGACATAGGCTCTGGTCTTTAGCAGTCGTCCAATCAGATGCCTGATGGCGTATCGGCGCCGTCAGCTGCTCCTGCTTTATGGACGATGCAATTAGCCCAGCCGTCCCACTTATCGCAGCGCCACAGATGGCAGATCCACAAAACGCCTCAGTGTGTCGGTTAATACTCACGCCGTTTATGGGCCCAACCCCCCCACTCTTCTTCTGGGGTTTATTGATGGCAGCTCAGAGCTGCTGTCGGCGCCGCCGTCTGGAGGCCGTTATCTGGTTCTGATTGATGGGAGGAGCAGAACCTGAGCGTAAACGCGGTCCTGGATCGGTTCTCTGCCGGTTCTGCTCAGGATGAGGAGTTCTGCTCTGCAGCAGGACATCCTGAAGGAGCGGACCCCCCATCAGTCAGTCATTAAAGCTGGAGCCTGGAGGTTCTGGAACAGAACCAAAGCTGGAAGGTTCTGGAGCAGAACCAAAGCTGGGAGGTTCTGGAACAGAACCAAAGCTGGAAGGTTCTAGAGCAGAACCAAAGCTGGAAGGTTCTGGAGCAGAACCAGAGCTGGAAGGTTCTGGAGCAGAACCAAAGCTGGGAGGTTCTGGAACAGAACCAAAGCTGGAAGGTTCTAGAGCAGAACCAAAGCTGGACGGTTCTAGAGCAGAACCAGAGCTGAAGGTTTTGCAGCAGAACAAAGTGGAAGGTTTGGAGCAGAACCAAAGCTGGGAGGTTCTGGAGCAGAAAACCAATGCTGGAAGGTTCTGGAGCAGAACCAAAGCTGGACGGTTCTGGAGCAGAACCAGAGCTGGAAGGATTTGCAGCAGAACTAAAGCTGGAAGGTTCTGGAGCAGAACCAAAGCTGGGAGGTTCTGGAGCAGAACCAGAGCTGGAAGGTTCTGGAGCAGAACCAGAGCTGGAAGGTTTTGCAGCAGAACCAAAGCTGGGAGGTTCTGGAGCAGAACCAAAGCTGGAAGGTTCTGGAGCAGAACCAGAGCTGGAAGGTTTTGCAGCAGAACCAAAGCTGGAAGGTTCTGGAGCAGAACCAGAGCTGGAAGGTTTTGCAGCAGAACCAAAGCTGGGAGGTTCTGGAGCAGAACCAAAGCTGGAAGGTTCTGGAGCAGAACCAGAGCTGGAAGGTTTTGCAAGCAGAACCAAAGCTGGAAGGTTCTGGAGCAGAACAGAGCTGGAAGGTTTTGCAGCAGAACCAAAGCTGGGAGGTTCTGGAGCAGAAACCAAAGCTGGGAGGTTCTGGAGCAGAACCAAAGCTGGACGGTTCTGGAGCAGAACCAAAGCTAGAAGGTTCTGGAGCAGAACCAAAGCTGGAAGGTTCTGGAGCAGAACCAAAGCTGGGAGATTCTGGAGCAGAACCAAAGTGGGAGGTTCTGGAGCAGAAACCAAAGCTGGACGGTTCTGGAGCAGAAACCAGAGCTGGAAGGTTTTGCAGCAGAACCAAAGCTGGGAGGTTTGGAGCAGAACCAGAGCTGGAAGGTTTTGCAGCAGAACCAAAGCTGGAAGGTTCTGGAGCAGAACCAAAGCTGGACGGTTCTGGAGCAGAACCAAAGCTGGGAGGTTCTGGAGCAGAACCAAAGCTGGGAGGTCTTGGAGCAGAACCAAAGCTGGACGGTTCTGGAGCAGAACCAAGCTGGGAGGTTCTGGAGCAGAACCAAAGCTAGAAGGTTCTGGAGCAGAACCAAAGCTGGAGGTTCTGGAGCAGAAACCAAAGCTGGGAGATTCTGGAGCAGAACCAAAGCTGGGAGGTTCTGGAGCAGAACCAAAGCTGGGAGATTCTGGAGCAGAACCAAAGCTGGGAGTTAAAACTGGAGTGCAGAACCAAACCTGGAAGGTTCTGGAGCAGAACCAAAGCTGGGAGGTTCTGGAGCAGAAACCAAAGCTGGGAGATTCTGGAGCAGAACCAAAGCTAGGAGGTTCTGGAGCAGAACCCAAAGCTGGGGTTTGGGCGAAACCAAAGCGAAGG